AAGTAAATGTAGGATAGCTGAGGCTCAAATCCAGCATTCAGTACTGTCCCGAAACATCAGCCTACTGCAGCTGTTTCTCTTCTGTTTTCGTGCTACACACTAAAGTGTCGGTTGCGTTCACACCTACCACACAGAGAAACCAGCTGATAAGGTTTCTCTGTGTGGTCAACACTGTGCTACAATGTCAACACGCTTCCTAAGGTTAGCATACAGAAGAGGAACGCACTGTGTCGACCAACTGGACAGCTGTGGCCACAATAAAAAAGTCAAACAGTTTCAATCGATTATTAAGAGAACGACTAAACATTTAAAACACATTTCTCCATCTTCTTTGCCTGGATTCTCCTCCCTAATGTATTGCCATATTCACATTTTTTATTTGTGCTTTTACAACAATGTTAGACTTTCTTTACACAAAGTTTAAAGGAGCTCTTCTCTGTACGTTTACTTACAAGATCATTTACAATTCTGAATGTTCTTTGTGCCTCTAATTAAACATTTTCACGCAATAAATAACTAAGGAAGCAAACATGTTTCATCGACTCTTTGAACTCAGCGGTCCGACACAGCAAAGTCTGTCCAGATCTGATCAGAGACCAAGTGTTGCAACTCTAGATTTGTAATACAGCACTGACTATTTAAAGTCCCAACTCTCTGCTTTAAAGCTGCTTGATTGGCTGAAATACTTTTTCATAGACAGAACGTGGAGCGAGCCTTTAGTAAACTTGCGGTCAAAGCAAACCGTGAGCTTTGTGAGCCAAAGAGTTGAATTTTATCATCACTGGTAGGCAAATCACTTGACCCAATGCCAACTAAGGAGGTGCTGTATTTGCCAAAGACCAGAAAGTGACCTAAAAGTCCCCGTAAACAAGCAAGAGCTACAGCGGTTAAGGCAAACTTACAGAGGACTGTGAATAAAAAGAGCTACGATTACCCCCCAGATCACTGGGTATGGATGTGAAACCTTCAAATTAAAGCTTAGAGTTGGTACATGTGCTGCATTACAAAGCCAAGGCTATAATGTATCACTGTCAAATCAGACTGCACGTTATATTGCTCATTTGTTGTTCTATTACAATTTTTGAATCCACATATATACACATTTACCTAAAGACTGAACAATTCAAAAGAATTATCTACTACTGTTCTGAGTGGATGTTATTCCAAAGTCCACGACAGAACGATCACTTAGCAGCATTCGTGGACCTTCGCATGCTTGCAAATGGCACAGTCCATCTCATCATCATCATCATCGACAGTCTGCAAAACGGCCGGTCCAGGCGGGAGCTCAGGCTCGTGTTAAGGTTTTCGAGGGCGGGATCGCTCGAGAGGCGTTTTGAGCGCGACCATTGTCGCTATTACAGTCAGCTGACGCGATTCAGCGAATGAATGTCGGAGAACTAAGGACGATTTGTTTAGCTGCGAGGTAATACTGAGACTGAAGGCATCAGAGGGTTGCTGTTGGCACATCAGCTGGTGGAAGCCCGAGCAGCGACAGGTTGGCTGGAGTTCACCGTGGTGGGGAAAGAGCGGGGTTGAGCTCGAAGTTGGAGTTCAAACCCAAGCAGAAAGTCATCAGGAGAGCGTGTCTCTGTTGGCTCTCCTGTCAGAAATGAGTGTGAGCACATTCACTGTGTCCTTAAGTAACGAATCGAAGATGCTGTCTGCTAGCTGCATTTTGACAAACAGCTCGTCCTCGTCGTAGTTGACCCACTGGGCCTCCTCCTCGTGGAGTTCCTGAACCTGCGAGAGAG